TTAAGGAAAAATATTGCCCTCATCCATTTAAATAAAAAAATAACAATTGTAATGGTACAGATATACCTGCATTAAAAGACCTTCATTCAACAAAGACTTTACTTTCCACCTAGTGGTTATACACACGTAGTTTCACTATACATTGCTTCAAACCCAATTGTACATGGAGGATGCCTCAACATGATGGTAGTTTACCACTAAATATTTAAATTTCCGGACCCTACATTACGATGTCAAGTTTCTAATATTGATTTTTATTGATATTTTATAAGGATGTCAAGTATTTAATTAGGATGTCAAGTATCTAATAACAATGTCAAGTTTCTAATAACAATGTCAAGTATCTAATAACAATGTCAAGTATCTTATAACAATGTCAAGTATCTTTTAACAATGTTGAGTATCTTATATAGATGTCAAGTATTTTATAACGATGTCAAGTATCTTATAACGATGTCCAGGTATCTTATAACAATGTCAAGTATCTAATATAGATGTCAAGTATTTTATAACAATGTCAAGTATCTTATTACGATGTCAAGTATCTTATAACGATGTCCAGGTATCTTATAACAATGTCCAGTATCTAATATAGATGTCAAGAATTTTATAACGATGTCAAGTATCTTATAACGATGTCAAGTATCTTATAACAATGTCGAGTATCCAATATAGATGTCAAGTATTTTATAATAATGGCAAGTATCTTATAACATTGTATCTAATTATGATGTCAAGTATCTTACAACAATGTCAAGTATCTTATAACGATGCCAAGTATCTTATAACGATGTCGAATATCTTATAACAATGCCAAGTATCTCATAACGATGTCAAGTATTTTATAACAATATCAAGTATCTTATAACAATGTTGAGTATCTTATATAGATGTCAAGTATTTTATAACAATGTCATGTACATTGAATCTAATAATGATGTCCAGGTATCTTATAACAATGTCAAGTATCTTATAACAAAGTAAAGTATCTTATAACGATGTCCAGGTATCTAATAACAATGTCAAATATCTAATTTGATGTCAAGTATGTTATAACGATGTTAAGTTTCTTGTAACAATGCCAAGTATCTTATAACGATGTCAAGTGTATTTATCAATTAACTCAAATATCTAATAACAATGTCAAGTAATTTATAACAATGTCAAGTATCTTAAAAAACAATGTCAAGTGTATCTAATAATTAACTCAAATATCTTATAACAAAGTCAAGTATGTTATAACAATGTCAAGTATCTTATAACAATGTCAAGTATCTAATAACGATGTTAAGCATCTAACTACCACAGTTAAACATCTATATTACAACCATAAACCCCTGCATAATGGAAACCAAACCTTCAAATAACAATGTCAAGTCTCTTTGTAACAACAATCAAACCTCTACAGTAGAAATGTGTAACCTCAACATAAGCAATCCTTGTTGACAGGTCTCTCAATACAGGTAACTCCTGCACAATGATTGACATAAACAAAAATAGAATGGTGGTCATAAAAGTTTTCCTGGTCTGCATTCACAGGTGGTCATTATATGAGCCGCGCCATGACAAAACCAACATAGTGTGTTTGCGACCAGCATGGATCCAGACCAGCCTGCACATCCACAAAAATCTGATCAGGATCCATGCTGTTCCCTCACAAACCATATTACAAGTAGAGAAACTGGATCCATGCTGGTCGCAAACACACTATGTTAGTTTTGTCATGGCGTGGCTCATATCTTAATAATTTCAATCTTAAAATAAACACAACATAACAGCTGACTACATAAATGTATATAAGAAGTCCCCAAACATTATTATGTTGGGTATATTCCCTTTAAAATTGTTTCACATTCCAGCCATTCTGGCTTTCAAAAAAAATTGTGATTAAAGTAAAGAAACTTAAACACATAATTAATTCTTGAATAAAATCCATATCAGAGGAAATTAAGCTATCTTTGTGCTGTCTGAAATTGGCAGAATAATTGTTTGTTCACATACATATGATATAGAAACCAAATAGGAAACAGACTGGGAATAGGAAACAGATGGTTCCGTACCTTCAGTGCCTGAAAGAGAGGATAGACCCTCAATAAGCTTATAGAATACACACAAACATATGCAAGTGATGTTTTTTTTTTTTTAATTTTGTGAAAGCAAGGGATACCTGCATGATAAATTCATTTTTAAGTGAAATCACTACATTTGTTAACTTGACAACATTTTATTAGAACAATTCAAAGTTTTCAGAAACCTAGTGACAAGCTGCTTTAACAGTAAATATAGTCATATTAAAGTGTTAATATTCACATGCAAATGATATGCATAAACATTGCAGATGACAGCACATAAAGGTGGTAGATCTATAATTCTGTTTAGTACTTGTATCACATATGAGGTCCATTTATATAAACAATTATGCTAAAAGCAATAAATAATAATAAAGATAACCCTTCAACTGTAACTAACAGTTAGTGTAACTAACAAGTCTATGACTCTGTGTGAGAAAAAAATGTCATTAGAATACCAGTGGAATAACAATGGATTCCAGTGGAAATCAGGAATACCACTGGAACTCTATGGAATATCTCTAGCATCAGCCATTCTAGTGGTATTCCTCCCTAGAATTTTTAGTAAGATCCATAAAAGTTGACATTTTTAGGACATTTCAATTTGACCTTTATGTCAGTAAAAGATTAAAATTCAATTTCTTCATTTATGAAACTAATGTATTCAACTTTTTTCTACAATATATACATGTACCGTCAAGTAGTGGCAAAATGAATTGTAACAAGGCCATGAGGGACCCTGAAAGAAATTAACACAAAACCATTACAACATCTATGAAACAAAAACTGCATTAAAACAATCATAATATATCTGAATAATAAATGGTTTAACAAAAATGTTTCTGAATATATGCATTATATATATAAAAGAATTGCAATCTATGCACACAAGTAAATAAATTATTTCCTATCATTTCAGAAAATAAAACAAAAGGAAGTTGTTACACATAAAACCTCTAACACCTTCTCAAATTTTAAATAACAAAAACATGCTGAGATTTGCAAATTTCAAAAATAAAATTTTTACAGGTCAAAGTCATTCTTAGTATTAATGTGCTGGGCATAAATAGAGGATATTAAATGAGTGTAGGTTCAATAATTAATATATTGAACAAGTTGAATAAAATTATATTACGTGTGCTTCTTGCGAGCATAATATAATTTTATTCAATGAGTTCAATAAATTTGAATAAATTTTAAATAATGAACCTACATGAATGTAATATTCTATATATCATATACCCAAAATAAAGACTGTTTAAAGCACAAAAAAATCATTTTTCATTGACACGCCTATAGTTTAACGCTAACATTCAGCGCGTCTTTACACTATGTTTGTATATAGAGAATAATAGGTTGGTGCCATGGATGGAGAAAGTTTATCTGGCGAGGCGGAGGAATTTATTGGGTGAGCCGAAGGCGAACCCAATAAATTCCGGAGCAGAGCCAGATAAACTTTCTCCATCCACGGCACCAATCTATTATTCTACTTATCCTGTCACCGTTTTTTTAAAGAATTTTATTAAGCGAACTTCCTTTAATCTCACTATCGGAAATGTTTCTATATAAACAAAGAAGGCTCTAATTTTTCTACAACAATGTACTCGCCGTTCTTATTATCTCCCTGTGTATTTTCACATTGAGGGCGCCATTTTGTTTGAAAAATGTGATAAATAAACACAATTTTTTGTCGAATTTTGTTGTGAAAACTATCTAGAAAGAAAGAAAATGGTCTAACTAAGAAAATGAATCCGAACACCAATATTTTTTATTCAGTCGTTAACGCTGTACAGACGTTTAAAGTATTGTTTACGTGACGTCACAATGTAGCGCCAAACAGCACGTGCAAAACAATCAAATCAAGTACGCTATTTTAATGTCGCAAACGAGTTAAGTTTTACATTTTTTTCACTTTTAATAATTTTTATTTCGCTTGAAAAATTATAGAGTGAAATAAAATAAACAAACAAAGTTTTATCAACGTTTCCAAAACTCGTTATTCTCCACACAGAAGATTTAACGACAGTTTTTATATTTTTCTTGAAAAGTAGTCCGGCAAACATGCATACCACGTGATCAAGTGCCGTAGATCAGTAAAAATATACGGCACCTTGTTATCGGGTCGAAATTGAACCAAGTGACAGGATAAAATGCACATGACGTCAACTCTAAATATATGCACAACTGTGCAATACCATTTTTTACGAAGTCATAAAATTGACACAAGTATGTGATAAACACCCATACTGTTCAGATCATTTTTCTGAAGTTAAAGCCGCATGCTTCAAGATTCCTGCTGATTATTTAAAAAGTAAAATATTGTGAAGTGAACAAAGACACTTATTTACACATTGCAAACAGCACTTACAATCCAATGTAAATAACCAAATGCGGTCAAAATATGCAAAACAATGTCCTTATGGCCAGAGTCATGCTATAGAAACATGATAATAAATACTGCAAATCAGTTCTTAATCGCACATAACATGTAAATTATAACTTGAATCCTTTTACTTTTTATGTAATTGTAGTACATTTTTCACGAGTTTGATTTTTAAAAATATTTCGGCAAATCTGGAGGAATGCAGCTTTAATAACACTGTGTTTGGAGTCATAATTATATAACATCATAAGGAATATTCAAAATTAAAAAGAGAATAACAATGATAACAATGTACAAGTATGCATCAATGCAATACATGTACATGAAAATTACTTTTATAATGAATCACTTTATGTACTTTTAGAAAAATTTATTTTCAAATATCAGAGCTGAGATAGTCCAGTCCTCAGCTCTAAGTGCACTTGCCCGTTTATACTACGAAGTTGACAAATGTTTAAAAGTTTTAATTGAGCCGATTTCATAAATTCAGAGATTTAACCAAGGGGACAGCTTCTACCTCATATTTTAAGGAAAACAAAATAACACTGTCTTTGTTCATGTAATTATATTTATGATAACATTGCATTCAATCAAGAAAACATGCCATATACACATAAACAGTTCACAAAATTGCAATACCTGTATGTCACAAAGCACCATTACAGCAAAGTTTTTCGTGACTTTTAGAGATTTTTTCTTTGAATATCTTCCAAGTTTTTTCAAGAAACAGTTGTTAAGTCAATTTTGACGCAAAAAGATTTTAAATAATTCATAACACCTCAAACTTATTAATTAATAAACATATTTTTAAAAACTATGTATTAACAGCAAGGCAAGTATTTAGTAAATTTGCATTACATAATTATAGGACAATCATGCACATGTGCAGTAATAGGTTAACTCCTATTAATATTTAATATAAGATATAGACGATATTGAATGAGTGTAAGTTCAATACTGAATTTATTGAACGAGTTGAATAAAATTATATTGTGTGAGGCTCTGGTGAGCAGGATATTATTTTATTCAGCGAGTTCAATAAATTCAGTAATAAACATTCACAAATTTAATATTCTTTTCATCACATACCAAGAGTAAAGGCTGTTTAAGTGAGAAAGAGTCATTTTTCATCGATGCACCTATAGTATAACGCTAAAATTTAGCGCAACTTTATACTATTTTTGTATAACGCAAATGGCATCACCTCGTGGCTGTGCAAAAGCGGCACGGGCATGTGATGAAACTCATTACTGCACTAAGACAACACATCATAAAATAGGACACCTTGTAACAAAGATTCATTTGCAGTTACCATAACTTTAAGTAACATTTCATGAGGTAAATGGTCTTCAATAAGAATAAAAGCTATGTTGACTAGACTTACTTTAAAAACATACAACCCTGTTTTGATGTTGAAATTTAAACTGAATGCCAAAACAGGATGAAAAACTATCAACAATAAAAAAGACAAACAAAAAGCTATGACCTGGCTTTGTTTATATTCTGGCATTAATGTTAGCAAAATTATCACAGTTTTTTCCCCTCAGTAAATCATAGAAAAATAAAATTGTACTGCAGAACTAACCCGCCAACAATTAAGAATTTATATGTGTCACTATTAGCTGTTTAAGTCAATTAAAATTTTTACTTATCTAATTTTATTAATACATTCCCGGGTATACAGCTCAACCTTTGCACAGCAACACCCTTTGGGAGACGACTTTGGTTGCTATTACAAGGTTCTGCTCTGGAGAGGTTAAATTCAATTTGAAGTCTTCCATTTGGAAAAAAGGTACTGTTGTTGTAAATAGGTTTGTTATAATGAGGGTATTGTTATAATGAGTGTATTGTTGTAAAGAGGGTATTGCTGTACAGAGGTTCCATTGAATGTGTACAATAGAAAACAAAACAAACAACAAAAAATAAAATAAAACAGCATTCAATGAATATTGCTCTGGATTATATAGAAACAAAAAATGAATACAAAACTAGAACTCCGCGAGTCGGATGTGTCGCCTTGTGAACAATGTAGTTTAGGAGAAATGGCCAGGACAAAAATGAAATATGAAAAATAACAAAGGGCAATAACTAAAAAAATAATAAGTGCAGAGCAGCATATCTGTGCACTGCACTTCTTATCAATAAGATCTATCATTCTATGATGATTCAAGTCCATAGCTTTCATACTTGAGGAGAAATGACCAGGACAAAAATAAAGTAAGAAAATCAACAAAGGGCAATAACTCAAAAAATAAGATATGCAGAGTATCAGTTCTTATGCACTGTACTTATTCTTAATGAGATCTATCATCCTATGAAGTTTCAAGTCCATAACTTTTATACTTTCGGAGAAATAGCCTGGACAAAAATTAAGTATGAAAATTAACAAAGGGCCATAACTCAAAAATTAAGAAATGCAGAGTACCGATTCTTGTGCACTGCACTTCTTCTTAATGAGATCTATCATCCTATGAAGTTTCAAGTCCATAGTTTTTATACTTAAGGAGAAATGGCCCGGACAAAATTAAAGTATGAAAATAAACAAAGGGCAATAACTCAAAAAATAAGAAATGCAGAGTACCTGTTCTTGTGCACTGCACTTCTTCTTTATGAGACCTATCATCCTATGAAGTTTCAAGTCCATGGCTTTTATACATTAGGAGAAATGGCCTGGACAAAAATAAAGTATGAAATTAACAAAGGGCAATAACTCAAAAATTAAGAAGTGCAGAGTACCGGTTCTTGTGCACTGCACTTCTTCTTAATTAGATCTATCATCCTATGAAGTTTCAAGTCCATAGCTTTTTTAGTTGAAGAGAAATGGCCCGGACAAAATTAAAGTATGAAAATTAACAAAGGGCAATAACTCAAAAAATAAGAACTGCAGAGTACCGGTCCTTGTGCACTGCACTTCAGGTTTTTGAAAGAAGCATGCATACCAAGTTTGAAGTCAATCAGACTTATAGTGACTGAGTTATGCTCCGGACAAGCTTTAGGGGACGCCGACAACGACAATGACACAGACGCCGACGACAAAAGTAACCCCTATATGTCACCTTTTCAAGGCGACACAAAAAATGAAAAAATATACAAGTTTACATCCTATAAATGTTTATAATAATACTCTGTGCATATTGTATACTTTTGATATGAACTGTATGTTTTGTCACTTAAATAACTATAAAAGTATTATAATTTTTTGGAAAAAAAAAAGATACGAAGAAACAAAAGAAAAACCTTTCTAGTTCTATGAAACCAAGTTAACACAATCACCTACTAAAAAAAAATTAAGTAAATAAAAAAATAAATGAAATAACTGGAACTACTTGTTAAAAATACTAAAAAAAATAAGTCATCAATAGGTCATCATTAAAATATTGTTAAATTGCTGAAACAAGACCAAATCTTTTACCAGCGGGTATGTATATATACATACATGTATATATTCAACAAAGAAACATCTGATTATCACAATCACAACAAAAACGAGATGGGTTTACATTATTTTCAACATATAAATTACATAACGGCAACCAACAAAACACATATTTTACAAAATGACCTAAGATAAATATTTCTTGAACAGAGAAAAATTGAAGACTATTTGGTGGGAGATATTCTGATACAACAACATCACATTGTCACAAACAATATTATTTTTTTTACAGATTTTTGTATCAACTGTGTCCATTACTGAATACATTTCTCTACGGCACCCAATACAGTGTAGTCAAATTTCTCATCTTAACAAACCAGTCTACAATTTGGAAGTTTTGCTCCTCTGTACAACAGCATGGATATTTCCAGAGGGTTTGTCAACGGCCATATACACCTTAAAATATAATAAAACAGATACAATATACATATGTTTATATATGTATCCTACAATATCAAGTTAACATGCTGTTATTCAAATATTTGCTTTCAGCTTAGAGAGAACTGACCATATTCAGCCCATATGGCAAGCATAATATAATTTTCACCCTTTTTATTTTGGTAGGGTTTTACATAACACCAACACAGTGTAGGTCCTTCCTGCTTTACTTGCACTAATGGGCACCTGAGTAGAACCACTTACGTTCCATAAGCTAGCTGGATAGCTTCCTCACATGAAAGAATCCAAAGTCCCTGTTGACATTCGAACCCACAACAGTGAAGGGCAAGTAGTTTAATCACTCAGCCACAGATGCCCCATATTCAATCTTATATAAGAATAACATGTTGGTAACACTTCAAAACATAGTCCATGTAAGAGAAACAGTATTAAAAAGAACAAGTACAATGCTATATTTTTCCCCGCATTAAAAAACCAAACACAACTTACTTGAGTGTTATTGCAGCCACTAAACTCAAGTTTGGGAAATCTGGAGAAATCTATATCAAAGTAATGCTTGTTTGGTAGAGTAATCTCCACTTTATCTATCTGTAATGTATGGAAATTAGACAGTTAGCAAACATCATTTAATCAATAATAGACTGCATCTATAATTGCCTGAAAATATCAATGAGAGGAACATGCTTTACCTGAAATAATTTGTTGTGAATAATTTAAGGACATATATGTATATGTAAACAAAATTGTACTTATGAATATTTAATATATAGAGGACTAAATATGAACTTTTTATTTTATGACTACATTTACAGTTTCAGTTAATAGGTTTGGGATATTCTATAACAATGCTGTAACAGTTCATGATTTTCAATTACAATTCAAACAATTCAACAATTTTATCTGTAGTGTAAGTGTAATGCTACTATTTACCTGTGATATTCATGTTAAGTTACTGTTCACCTGGAGTATTTGTGCAAAGTAACTATTTACCTGGGATATAAATTTAGTTACTTTTTACCTTGGGTATTCCTGTAATGTTACTCTTTACCAGGGAAATTCATGTTAAGTTACTAGTTACCTATGGTATTTGTGCAAATTTACTATTTACCTGTGGTATTTGTGTAAATTTACTATTTACCTATGGTATTTGTGTAAAGTTACCATTTATCTGGGATATTTGTGTAAAGTTACTATTTACCAGGGGTATTTGTGTAAAGTTACTATTTACCTGGGATATTTGTGTAATGTTACTATTTACCTGGGGTATTAATGTAAAGTTACTATTTTCCTGTGGTATTTGTGTAAAGTTACTATTTTCCTGTGGTATTTGTGTAAAGTTACATGTACTATTAATCCTTGTAAAGTTACTATTTACCTGGGGTATTAATGTAAAGTTACTATTTTCCTGTGGTATTTGTGTAAAGTTACATGTACTATTAATCCTTGTAAAGTTACTATTTACCTGGGGTATTAATGTAAAGTAACTATTTACCAGGGGTATTTGTGTAAGTTACTACTTACCTGGGGTATTAATGTAAAGTTACTATTTACCTGGGATATTTGTGTAATGTTACTATTTACCTGGGGTATTTGTGTAAAGTTACTATTTTCCTGTGGTATTTGTGTAAAGTTACATGTACTATTAATCCTTGTAAAGTTACTATTTACCTGGGGTATTAATGTAAAGTTACTATTTTCCTGTGGTATTTGTGTAAAGTTACATGTACTATTAATCCTTGTAAAGTTACTATTTACCTGGGGTATTAATGTAAAGTTACTATTTTTCTGTGGTATTTGTGTAAAGTTACATGTACTATTTATCCTTCTAAAGTTACTATTTACCTGGGGTATTAATGTAAAGTTACTATTTTTCTGTGGTATTTGTGTAAAGTTACTATTTACCTGGGGTATTCGTGTAAAGTTACTATTTGCCTGTGGTAATCGTGTAAAGTTACTATTTACCTGTGGTATTCGTGTAATGGCAGATCTAGCTGAGATATATAATGTGTTTTGGACCGATGCTGAGTACACTCCTGTGTCTGGTGGACCCGCAAACTTCTCTAGTATAGTTGCTTTAACAGCTTCCCTAATTATAATCCAGAAAAAAACTTAAGATTATTCATTTCTAGAATTTACAAAAAATTCAATGCTTTTATTGTTAATCAAAAACGATTATTCATTGTCAGTTCTTTTCGGTTTTTCTTTGCCAAATCTTCAATTTTGCCATTTATTTGTAGATTGCTTCTTACAGTAAAAAATGTTTCCAAATTAGCTTATTTTGATTAAAATGTATCTTCCTAAAATTGTTCTATAACAATATTTCCAAAAATGTTTTAACTTTAAGGTCAAGGTCACATCCAATTGAAGTATAAAGGATCTTGATTCTGAAATGATTATTTTAATGCCACAGCTAATGTTGATCACAGATGGACAGCTGGCAAAAAAACACAACAAATTAACAAACCCGTTGAATCATTTGATTTATCATTTCAGGGTTATGAACACAGCAAAGCAAATCCTGAATTGAAACTGACTTGAACCAATATAAAAAAATAAGATTTCAGGCAAGTCATAGCCACGTAAATGGTTCTCCTACAAAACATACCATGCTTTATCAAAACAGAACCCTTCTGACGTGTTGTACCACCAGTCTGCTGTTACTATAGTTGACATTATTCGATCATCCGTGTTTGGCAAGGTACGAAACTCGTCTGTTACAAAATCCTTAAAAGCCGACTGCGTAGTCTTCAAAACTCTCAAATCTCGGATTCCAGCTCTGACCAATGGTTCACCTGTATTAGAGAACATACTGTTTATGATTTCCCCGAGTTTAAACAATGTAAGTTACTGTAGTTATAAGTAACACACGAGACAACTAAAAACAAATTTTGCAATGGGGTCAAGATCTACAAGCTGGAAATACAACAGACTTTAAAACCATTTCAATGATATTGATCGCCAATCTGTTACTAATGAAAACCCAGGATAATGCAGATTATTTATGTTTTTTTTCTCTAAAACTGTATTTTCAATTATATTTAAAAAGTACGTTAAGTAGCTCATTTCATGATTTTTCAATGAAAATCAGCATGTAATTTCTCAAAGTATCAATAAAACCAACCAGATAGTGAAATATAAGTTAAGCCCTACTGTTAAACTAAAGAAATAAGAAACCCTAAAGAAAGTCAAAAACGGCAAAATCTAAAATGTTGCAGACTCAGTTTGACTGAGCCTGTTGATAGACGGTACTGTAAAGTGCAAACTCTTTTAACACTGGAACATAAACAGCCAGCAAATTTCTGCCATTAGTCTAGAACCAGTCCAATCTACAGATCGTAGATGTCTAACTGACCTTTATATGGTTATTTGGCAAACTTCCAAATTTTAATCATCATATCCCTTTAAATGGATAAATGGACTGTGCCGTATTGGAAGTTGGGCAAGTTCATTCAGTAAATTCAACAGTTAAAGGATTCATATTGTTACCTCCACGTTTCTGCGTAACTTCACATACTCGCAAACAATCTCTTACAAACTGGAATGCATGAACATGTTTTTCTCCGTTCTGAAATTCAAACATAAATTGTTTTTTTAATGAATACTGCAGCAACCATACATGAAAAGGTAAAACAGTAAATAGCTAAATTTAGAATAAAATCATAAACAAATATAATACATGAAATGAAATATATAAAATCATTATAAATTTATGTAGATGGTGAAAAGTAAGACAGAATATATCAAGTCCCTCCCAAGACTTATAGGGTTTTTTTTTTTGGGGGGGGGGGGGGTTTAAACAATGCACCAACACAATTTGTTCATATAGCGAAAAAAACAGGAAAGATAGTTTTGGCTTTCTCTAGGGTAGATAATTTTTGAAGAAATCTGCTAGGCAATGATGATACATGCAAAATATCTAAGCTATAGGTCATGTAAGTTTACACAAGATTAATGTGTTTTCCTATGTAAGTCTATGTGAACATAAAGAACTTACATGATATGTATGACTATGTCAAGTTTTATCCGATGGACATCATTTTATAAATTTTGAATTTTAAGTCAGACTTGAAATATTTGTATAAATTTTGAAGAAGACAAACTACAGATTATTCCAGTAAAGTTTGGTTGCAGTCTACAATGTGGCTAAGAAGATGATGTTGAACAAACTGGGGAAAACAACAGAACATTGATGGTATCACTTTGTTGTTGTTGTGTATTACTTTGCACCAACACATTATAGCTCATATGCTGACTTTCAAGCTTTATTAAATTGAGGAAGAACTCGGGTGCAACTCACAAAAAAAACCATCTATGTAGAACATCCAATGTTACATAAGCTAGCTGGATAACTTACCCACATGAAGAATATGACGAGGCTGAACCTCATGCTATCAAAAAGCTCACCTTTGAGCACTTTGTCCTCTAGTGAAGTCACAGAGCATAAAAGTCTGAATATGTCCAAGAAATTTACAATACATTTCCATAAACAAAAGAGAAACTTACAATATCAACTCTTTTCCACGGGTACTCTTCAATGTTTATTTTTGTTGCCACAACATGTGGATATTTTCGTAAAAAATGGTTGCTAAGTATTAGAGCAAACTTTTCAATATTTTTGACCTGAAACAAAAAAAGCTTTCACATAACTTAAAGAAATTGAAAAGAAGCTACAAATGTTATAAATCTTTAATATAGGTTAATTTTCGTAATTTAATTACTCCCAAGAATTTTCAATGAACAATAGTGGTGATTATGACATGCTGCAGCAAATTTTTTTTTTTTCTATTTTAAATCAAAGAAAGAATGGTGCAGCATTTTGTTATATTACAGAGATATTAAAAAATTTATATGGCTTTATATAAACAGTTTTTCACAACTATATAACCTAATCTGCTAGGTGAGGACTATTATAACCAGACATTTTGGGTCATTTTATGTATCAAATGTCTATATGAGCCATATAACATATCAAATTTCTTGATGAGCCATATAACATATCAAATTTCTTGATGAGCCACATCACACATCAAAAGCCTTTATGGACCATATAACATATCAACTGTTTTTTATGTGCCATATAACATATCCAATGTCTTTATGAAGCATATAACATATCCAATGTCTTTATGAAACGTTTCATATGACATATTCAATATCTTTAGGAGCCATATAACATAGCAAATGCATTAAATATGAGCCATATAACATATCCAATGTCATTATGAAACATATAACATACCAAATGCCTTTATGAGCCATATAACATATCAACTACATGTACATGCATCTTTATAACTAATAACATGATGTTAACTTTAACTATTATGTCTACATACCCCATGTTGCTTGGCAAGAACATGTACAGTGTTTTTCTGTGAGTCTGTGGCAATGATATCTGAATTATCCTCAAATATATAATCCCTGTGGTTGTTTAATGTTAATGCTGTACACACCTCCAACTCCTGTAAAAAACATGAAATATATATCATAATTTGATAAAATATATAAAAATCAGAATCATGGACAAATAAAAACCAGTAGAAAAAGTATAGACAATGGGGTCAGTTAATCAAGTTATTAACCCGGGTAAGTGAATAACTACAGTAAGTTGACAACCATGGTGAGTTCATGACTACAGTAACTTGATAACAATCTACAGTAAGATTCATAATAAGTGAATCCCTACAGTAAGCTGATAACCACAGTGAGTTGAGTTAATTACTGCAGTATGTTGCTAACCATGGTGAGTGAATAATTACAGTAAGTTGTGATAACCATGGTGAGTGAATAACTACAGTATTTTGATAACCATAGTGATTGAATAATTACAGTATGTTGATAACCATGGTAAGTGAATAACTACAGTAAGTTGATAACTATGATAAGTGAATAACTACAGTAAGTTGATAACCATGGTGAGTGAATAACTACAGTAAGTTGATAACCATGGTAAGTTGATAACTGCAATAAGTTGATAACCATGGTGAGTGAATAACTACGGTAAGTTGATAACCATGGTGAGTGAATAACTACAGTAAGTTGATAACCATGGTGAGTGAATAACTACAGTAAGTTGATAACCATGTTGAGTAAATAACTACAGTAAGTTGATAACCATGGTAAGTTGATTACTGCTATATGTTTATAACCATGGTGAAGTCATAACTACAGTAAGTTGATAACCATGGTGAGTGAATAACTTCAGTAAGTTGATAACCATGGTGAGTGAATAACTGCAGTAAGTTGATAATGATGGTAAGTTGATTATTGCAATATGTTGATAACCATGGTAAGTGAATAACTACAGTAAGTTGATAACCATGGTAAGTGAATAATTACAGTATGTTGATAACCATGGTGAGTGAATAACTACAGTATTTTGATAACCATGGTGAGTGAATAACTGCAGGATGTTGATAACCAAGGTGAGTGAATAACTACAGTATGTTGATAACCATGGTAAGTGGATAACTACAGTAAGTTGATAACCATGGTAAGTGAATAATTACAGTATGTCAATAACCATGGTGAGTGAATAACTACAATAAGTTGATAACCATAGTGACTGAATAACTGCAGTATTTTGATAACCAAGGTGAGTGAATAACTACATTAAGTTGATAACCATGGTGAGTGAATAACTGCAGTATATTGATAACCAAGGTAAGTATAATACATATATGCTTATAACCAAGGTAAGTTTAAAAATACAGTAAGTTCAAAAATAAAATGATAGCCATAGCAAGAACAGTATCTTGATAACCATATTAAGTTATTAACTACAATGTGTTTAAAACTACAAAATGTAAATTAGCATAATTAATAACCATTGTAAATAGCATTGTAAGATAAGATAACCGTTTATTTTTCCATTTCTGTTAACAAAGCAAGGGTGTAGTAGCTTAATCAAGCAATAATTATATTCAATCATTGTAATAACTCACATAATCCATGTCCTTGTGAAGTTATTTTCACAGAAAAAGTAACAAACAATTAAATGAGTCGGGAACTAACCTTAATGTAATGTTTTTCTGTGTCTCTCTTCACTACTAGGATCTTCACCCAGTTCTTCCCATAATCTGATGCCACAAACTGTGTCTCCACTGGTGTTTCCATAATTTCTACAAAAAAATAAAAACACAATTTAGGTTTTATTGCTTGCTGAGTTTCTTAGTATCTATACCTCTTTTTTCCTTAATCAAAATATACATGTATACTTGAATACTTATCCTTCCCTCACAATATCATGTTCTATAAATTGGGAGCATCTGTATGTTTAGAGATTGTTTTTCAGCGCAAAGCCTGTGCAGAACATATTTTGTCCAAAAAGACACAATACCCGATGTTAAATAAGTAATATGTATTATAATATGACATATTATTCTAAGCAAAGATTTGTCAAAGCAATTACCTGGCAATGACCTTATATCATGTAGTGATAAATTAACAAATCATAATCTAATAGTACCCTGGCAAATATACACCTGTCTATAAAGAAAACATTACCATGCTAATTGACCTAGCAAAAAATAATTCCAAGCAATGGCCTCGCAATAAATAATACCAAGCAATGGCCTGGCAAAAAATAATATCAAGCAATGGCCTGGCAATAAATAATTCCAAGCAATGGCCTCGCAAAAAACAATATTAAGCAATGGCCTAGTAAAAAAAAATCAAGCAATGGCCTGGCAAAAATAATTCCAAGCAATGGCCTGGCAAAAAATAATTCCAAGCAATGGCCTGGCAAAAAATAATTCCAAGCAATGGCCTCCCAAAAAATAATATCAAGCAAAGGCCTGGTAAAAAACCCATCAAATTTTGGCCTGGCAAAAAATTATTCAAACCAATGGCCTGGCAAAAAAATAATTTCAAGCAATGGCCTTGCAAAAAAAAATCCAAGCAATGGCCTGGATGAACATGTTTACCACTTTTCATTAACCTAGAAAACATTGAAATTGCCAAGCAAATGTTGTAATTGGCAGGGAATGATTTTGACAATAAATAAATGGTGGAGTATTTTCTCATGCAAAGTTGTAATTCTTCAAGCTAATGTTATAATTTATTGTAATTTCTCAAACAAAGACTGTGATTTCTCAAACAAAGACTTATTTTCTCCAAGTATAGATAGTAATTTCTCAAGCAAAGACTGTTATTTTTTAGGCAAAGATTGTAATTTAATTTCTCAAGCAAAGACTGTTATTTCTTAAGCAAAGAAATTAATTTCTCAAGCAAAGACTGTTATTTTTTTAGACAAAGATCGTAATTTAATTTCTCAAGCAAAGACTGTTATTTCTTATTAAAGCAAAGAAAATAATTTCTCAAGCAAAGGTTGTAATTTAATTTCTCAAGCAAAGACTGTTATTTCTTAAGCAAAGAATGTAATTTCTCAAGCTAAGACTGTCATCTTGTAAGCAAAGACTGTAATTTCTCAAGCAAAGACTGTTTTTTTAGGCAAAGATTGTTATTTAATTTCTCAAACAAAGACTGTTATTTCTTCAGCTAAGACTGTAATTTCTAAAGCAAAGATTGTAATTTAATTTCTCAAGCAAAGACTGTTATTTCTTAAGAAAAGATTATAAATTTTCAAGTAAAGACTGTTATTTTTTTTTAGACAAAGATTGTAATTTAATTTCTCTAGCAAAGACTGTTATTTCTTAAGCAACGACAGTTATTTAATTTCTCAAGCAAAGAGTGTTATTTCTTAAGAAAAGATTATAATTTCTCAAGTAAAGACTGTTATTTAATTTCTTAAGCAAAGAATGTTATTTCTTAAGTAAAGACTGTAATTTTATTTCTCAAGCAATGGCTGTTATTTAATTTCTCAAGCAAAGACTAAAGATTGTAATTTCTCAAGCAATTACTTGGAAAGAATATTTTGTAATGAATTATCTTACAAAATTTATATATAAATGTTATTTATTCTGTCAAGCTTTGTTTTTTCAACACATACATTTATTTAGTCAAGGCAAAATATCCATTCAAAAAAATCTTTACAGAAAATCATGATGATAAATAATATAAAGAAAATATGAAAAAATATCCTGTCATACTATATAGTATATATCCTGTTATATCTTACTCCTCTTCACAATTACCTTGTTAAGATAATATCCTGTTAAAGGGACTCCACTGAGGTTTTTTGACATGATGGGACTGAAAATATTTTTCTAGATAAAAGTACCATTTGATGTAGGTTTAGACCACTGATCTTTGTCCAAAATTTAAGATCATTCACACACTTAGTTTTTCAAGAATAATTATTCAAATTGTAAAGAAAATGAGCTAAAGTGAAAAGCGTTTAAACGCTTTTCACTTAAATCAGGCTAAGAAAAGCATAAAAATACGATTTTCAATTTATTTCAAAGTATATTTCTCAACTATCTTTGCATATATTTCTGTTTAAAGTGCTCTGGCTCATTTATGTAAGAAATTCAAATGTTATGTTTTAGGCTTTTAAACCTCAGTGGAGGCCCTTTAATATCCTGTTACATCTACAGCAGTTAATCAATATGAAAACATTTACTTACATCTGTTGTATTGTAAATGTACTCACAAGTCTGACTGTCTGAAAGCTTTTCTCTAACTAGACAATATTACCATCTCTACTATTTTGAATCTACTTACTTATGCAGGTTCACAAAATTTAATACACTGTCGTTACCTTTGATGTGTAGTTTATATGACTACTTAAATAATGCATAATTACATCAAGATACATCAAGATGGGACAATAAACTAGTGTCATTTATTGGTAAACATGGTGAAGGACAGGTCACACATTTGTATTCAGTTTACAGATCCTGTATGTTATAATTGAGGTTGTATACCACAATTAAGTGACTCCGTGGCCGAGTGGTTAAAGTCGCTGACTTGAGATCACAGGTCCCTCACCACTGTGGGTTCGATCCTCACTCGGGTCGAAATCTTTCATGTGAGGAAGCCATCCAGCTGGCTTACGGAAGGTCGGTGGTTCTACCCAGGTGCCCGCTCGTGCCTGAAATAATGCCCGGAGGGGCACCTGGGGTCTTCCTCCACCAATAAAGCTGGAAAAAAATCGAAAAAAAATCTCGGCGGGACGCTCTATGATGACCCGACTTGAGTGTACGGTCGCCCATATGGGCTTTCCGGCGGCGACCTTAAATAAACGCATAAAAAAAAAAAACAAAAAAAAACGATTAAGTGAAATTTTAAATTTGTACATTTGTATATAATTATGCTTATAAAACAATTTTCAAACATCGAAGAATATGTAAAATATGTACTGCAAATATTTGTGCACATTAAATGTTATCATTAAAATACATGCATTCATTTTTTATTGAAAAGTTTGACTTGGACTTTACAGAAAATAAATTTCTAATTACCTCCCTTTATTTACATGAAATGTTAAATTCGGTAATATCTTTACAAATAATGCTTTTTGGAACTTACAATATTGATAAATCTATTTTAGCATCATATTTATGATATAAAACCATAAAAACATGTGTTACAGGATCTTTTAAGAAACAAGACATGAAACTTCGAATTCTGAAAATGTGGATTTTTTTCCCATCAAATCCAATCATATCCTGGGGTATAATCAAACTTTTACTATTAAAGCTTCGGGGTTTATTGGTATTCACATAAGTGTGGCCAACATGTTGCGTTTATTAATTCTTATACTTTCCAAGTTTTAACAGTAAGTTTCTTTGTACCCAAAGATACATGTAGGACTGGAAAAACTCACATTTGTAGAGATCCAAATAAAAAATATTCAAACCGTCTTATACAATATAGTTGCCACCAGAAACCCACTGATCCAAGTGTTAATATAACTGGGGATCAAACTCGTAACCCATGGTTTTTTTATTATCAGACTGCGTTCTGGGGTAAACATGCATCTATAATGAAGCTTGCATGGTTAACATCTATGTGTAGGAAAACTGAGGGAATGCTCCCATATAAAATCCATTTGTATCGGATATTATGAGTCAGAGGTGAATATTCAGGGAATTGTTAGAAATTGCAAGTAAGCAAGCAATTTACTCTCCTTCTCTTTCAATTTCCACACAGCCTATAGAAGCCCAATATTCACTAAGATTTAGTGAACACTGGGCTGTACCCTGTGCCCTCTCTTAAATAAGCATGCCTCCAGATTAATGCCTATTTTCATGAAAATTTTGAAAATGAAATTAAATGTATAAAATTATATATTAAATTAAAGAATTAAGCAATATACACATTATCAATGACACTAGTCTTACAACCCACGTTTATTACAAAAAATAAGAAGGTCAAAAATGTAAAATATCCCTTACTGCGTTAGTAACGCAGTAGAAATATAATAGTTATACATTATGAAAATTTCACTATTTTTGGCTCATAACATGTAAATTATTACATGAATCTTGAATCTTTCTACTTTTCCATGACCTAAAATCCAAGTATATTTTTCACAAGTTTGATTTATTGAAATATAATAAATTTTCGCACATCTGGAGGCATGCTGCTTTAAAACCAATGCAACATGTCAAGGATATGTAGGTGAATTCAATATTCACGTAGAAATCAGTCTCTTATCACAGTAAAATATGCAGACGGCAACTCTTTAAATGTCATGACGATGAATATCTGATCAATTCTGCTGTTTCATTCATATTATATGAAAGTGTATAAAGCTTTATCATATGAAATATTTTTATAAAATATATATTGTTTCCATAATTTTATGGTTGATTCACAAAAGAGTCATTTACCTCTTGGCTTAAAATTTATATAATAAACATGTCCTGCTATGACCTTGGATTAGTTTATTTTAATTTCAAAGGGTCTCAATACCAAAATACTCTAAATTTAAATAGTCAGGTGTATTGGCAGGTTAAACTGGACAGATAAGCAAACATAAACCTTACCTTCACTGGTCATAACAAGGGTCTGTTTTTTTTATCATTGCACACACTTGACGCTTAAGTTTTTCTTCATACTCATAAAGGTTCAAAACATAATTTCAACCAGGTAGGTAGGTATCAATTAAGTCATCATTATTGCAATTTAATCTGTCAAGCCATGGGACTGTGTAGCTCTAGACAGATTCAATTTCATTAATGCAGACTCACAAACATTGTAGGTCAATGTTTAAATGCAAGTCTTCATTTCTTAGTCAAGTTTTGCTAAACAAACTTCATTTCACACTTAATCAAACTTGTCAATGAAATATATTCTAAGTTATTTTCTACTTACACTCATTCAATATCTGATATTAAATGAGTGTAAGTTCAATACTGAATTTATTGAACAAGTTGAATAAAATTATATTATGTGAGCCTGTGGCTTTTGGGTTTTAATAATTTTTAAAATTTAGTTTTAAACTTACACAAATATTATGTTCAATTTATCTCATACCAAAAATAAAGACCGTTTGAAGTGAAAAAGAAACATTTTACATTGACCCGCCTATAGTATAATACTTACATTTAGTGCATCTTAATGCTATGTTTATACAACAAAAATAATGACGTGTTAAAATATATGCACGGCTGTGCAATACCATTTTTCGAAGTCGTAAAAGCGGCACTGGTGTGTGATAAATTTAAGTTTCACATATGGATTAAGTTTTACTGTACTTTATCAGAAGATACGATGATACATAGATGGCCTCATTGCCTAACAACATTGTCATTTAAAGTCATACTCAATACTGTAAAAAAGTTCTCAAGACCTCTTTAAAACATCAACCCTACAATGGTATATACCTGTGTTATATCTTATGTTTAAAGTTGTTTAAAATGACATTCATAATTCCCATCCAACTGTAAATGGTCTGTAAACAGTTGCCATAATTATGTGTGTTAAATTTAATATTTTACTATGAAAAAAAAAGTCGATACTCCTCATGACCAACAGAAATTTCTATAAATATCATTCAGAATGTATCAGTATTAAATTCCTAAAAGGTGGGGCAGTCTTTTTATGATATAGTTTTTTTATATTGTGCCATAAATATTTTTCATTATCAATTATCGGTCAATTATCATTACAATAGTCAATCTGTTATAATATATTTCTAACTCAACTTGACAGGGAAAGAATGAGCATAATGTTTCTTTAATCTCTTATTGGTGGTTAAAATAATTTTAATTCCCTGTTAATGTAGTTTAATCTATAGATATTTATTTTAGCTGCTTGAAGCTCTATTAAATCAGCAGAAAACCTGAAACTAATCAAAACCATTGATAACATTATTGTGATCTTTAGTAAGGCTCAATTGATGAGAATAAATAACCTGAGTTAATCACTGTTAGAACGATTTTTGTAGTAAAGCTTGTCTGGAAACTATTACACGAATCTCACAATTTCAAAAAATGTAACATACACTACAGATGATAGAGCTACAAAAATACAAAGTTTCTAAATGCATTTATGTTACATCAATGGTCCAAAATTTGAAAACTTAATTTGATTTTTGGGATAAATGTTACAACTTTTAATTTTCAGCTGAGAATACAGGGCCTTTTTACCCTTCTTTGCTGTAGCCTGTATCAGGCTACTTCCCCAATCCAAATTACTACCTTTTTTCCCCAAAAAACAGTCTAAAATTCCCCTTCTGGCAAATATTTCCCCTTTAACTGAAGAATAAAACTTTCTAGTTTTAAAATAGATAATTGTTTTGTCCACTGAAAGCTAATAATTCAATAACCCAATAGAGGGATACCTTGATTTAATACAATTGATGTTAACTCAGAGCTTCAGTTTGAGTTTGCAACTTTCTAAAAACAGCATGGGAAATCCCTGCTGCCTTATTTTTTAGTGCACATGTGATTTTTTACAACAATATGGCGACCGATACGATGTCACTAATGTAAACGATGTCACAGAAATACGATTGAGTGACATTTGTAATTGTTTATTAAAAATTGGATGAATTGATGACCTTGTTAGTGCAAGCCCATGTGTCCGAGTAGCACAACATGCCCAACTGTTGGAAATAGCGAGCCTAGCACATCAGTGCCAGTAATACAGTGTAAACTGATAATAATGTACCCTCTGAATCAAACCAAGAACCCTCACATGACCAACGTAAAATACTATAAATAGGAAATATGAGTTAATATAAAGGGGCAATAAATTGATCTGTAAAAAAAGTCTTTTACTCCTTTTGGACAGAAAGCTTAATACTATATTGTTTGGTTTTATTAACCTGTCAATTACATACTGATTACACGGTCGATGCACCCAGTATATTAATCTTCGGTAGATGTTCGGTAAGTTTCGTGAGATGTACGCTGTACGATGGAATTTAATTTAATTTGTATCTCTAAACTAAGAGTACTCATCGTTATAGCGCAATAGGGTAAATCACGAGTTTATAATCTAAGTGCCACACGTGTTTTAAGTTCGAGGCCACGTTGGTCCATGTTTTTTTCTTATTAATACTTTCAACATTATTGAATCTATATATGATTATTTTATGTTGTTCGTTTTGTTTGATTATGTTTTACTTAATTTTGTTATGTATGTACTCTTTTTAAATAACATGTTTTTTAAGAATTAATGTTTAAAATTAAAACGGATTAAAATCAATAAATGTCTTTTCAATGCCGTACAACACACTACAAAATCTGTTCCATTAAAATATACTGCAAAAATAAAGAAAGGGTACTAAAACAATATGGCAACAGTAAGGATCGAACCACAGACCTCTCAATTATCAGGCATTCTCTTTACCGACTGTCCTATTGTGAATTAACGAAAACCTTCAGATTAAGCTGGCGTGACTTTCAATCCATTACTAATATACTCCACATTAATTCTCGTAAACTACACGGACCAAACCAAAGTGGGATCGAATATTTAAATGAGTCCTATAATGTATTCATAATTGACAGGTCAATAAAATCAGACTATAGTAAACCTTAAATGTGATTGGAGGAAGATATGCAAATAAATTATGATATTCCCCCGAAATGTGTGAAAATATGATATTTTCCCCAAAAGTGTGAAAATCGCGCATTTTTTCCCCATAAAAAGGGCTAGGGCGCCTTCCCCAAAACTAGTGAAAAGGCCCTGGAATATAATATTGAAATCAATGTACTAGGGTTGATCTAATGAATGTAAGAATTTTTGTGGAAGTTTAATAGCTACATGTATCACTTTAAACTTTTTTGACTAGGATGGTGCCCTTGGGTACTGCAGTACTTATTTTTTCCAGAAATTTGTAAGAATGATAAGACCTTATATTTTACTGGTATTGCCAGCTGCAACTTTACTTAAAAGCATACTGTCAGGGTTTTCATTTTTATCTGAGGCAACAGATGTGCCAACGAAAACAATTGATTTTACTAAAGGTCAAGGGGGATATTTTAATCTAAAAGTTGAAAATAAAAGCGATTTAAGCATTTTAACCAATGATATGGATCGCCAATCTGTTAATAATGAAGACCCTGCAAATGTACTGTCAAATTTGTGGTTTTTGTCAGAATCTCACTTATACTGCCCTTGCATGAAATAGCACACTATCTCAACTTGTAGAAGGCCTATAATTAGTTGTTTAGAACTAGATTTTGGACACATCCATTATACTCTGTTTTTTTTTTATATAATTTATTACCATTATGATTGTTAAAATATACAATCAATAAAGAATGTAATAAAGAATGAAATTTGTCTCATTTCTATAAAAACAAAATTAGTAAAATTAATGCTGCAAACTGCAAGGCGTACGTGCAGTCTAACACTAACGCAATGATCTGATGACATGAAAGTCGAATTTTTGCACAGATGATCATACATGTATCATTTCACGTTCCATAATTTCATTAATTTTCCAGTCTTTGTCAAAGGTCGCGATATTGAAACAAAAGTGATGTCATGCATTTTTAATGGTTTTATCAAGTAGCTAATTCACAGAAAAAGGAAATTGCTAGATTTGTTACCCTTTAAGTGACCGTAGTATGCCCCTATACTCCTGTGATATGAGGATTTATTTTGGCAGGTCAAGGTTGGTTTCCCAATTGTTTACATTTACACCGGTAAAATATTTATGCAATCACCGGGCAGTCTGGTTTTCATATTTTTACATCAAAATATTTGTCCTGGTGAACTTGATCTTGACACAGTCTGACATTAATCTGCCATAATTTTGACAAGGAGGAAAGGGCGAAAGTCTATACTAATTACGAGGTACTTGTCTATACAGATTTGAAAGTCGTAAAATCTGCATGATGTCGTGAAAGTAAATATAGATCTACTGTAAGGAATAAAAGATACGTTTTTCTGAAACTTTTTCATTTTCATGAAATAAATTAGGTTTTTATAAGGAATAGTTTGAACAAAAACATAAAAAAATGCATTACCGCATGTACTGAAAAAGGCTCATGACCACCAAATTTTACTCTTTGATATTTTGTCTATACAGATTTGACTGAACTATCCTAATATGTGTCCTGATTTGAAAGATCTTACCAAGTTATGTGTACTAAAAAACTTCACTAATTTTACTATATTTCACCCTATATAATGTGTCTATACAGACTTCAACAGAGTTCATTCCGTATGATCAATAGACCACTGTCTATATTTATTTGAAAATATTTTATCATGTATATGTGTCTATACAGATTTCACCAGATTTCATTCGGTATGATCTGTCTATACAGATTTCACCAGACTTCATTCATTATGATCGGTCTATACAGATTTCACCAGACTTCATTCGGTATGATCTGTCTATACAGATTTCACCAGACTTCATTCATTATGATCGGTCTATACAGATTTCACCAGACTTCATTCATTATGATCTGTCTATACAGATTTCACCAGATTTCATTCGGTATGATCTGTCTATACAGATTTCACTAGACTTCATTTATTATCAACTGTCTATACAGATTTCACTAGACTCACTAGACTTCATTCATTATGAACTGTCTATACAGATTTCACTAGACTTTATTTATAATAATCTGTCTATACAGATTTCACTAGATTTCATTCGGTATCATCTGTCTATATACAGATTTCACCATACTTCATTCGGTATGATCTGTCTATACAGATTTCACTAGATTGCATTCATTATGAACTGTCTATACAGATTTCACCATACTTCATTCCGTATGATCTGTCTATACAGATTTCACTAGACTTCATTCATTATGAACTGTCTTTACAGATTTCACTACACTTTATTTATTATGAACTGTCTATACAGATTTCACTAGATTTCATTTGGTATGATCTGTCTATACAGATTTCACTAGATTGCATTCATTATGAACTGTCTATTCAGATTTCACTAGACTTCATTCATTATGAACTGTCTATACAGATTTCACTAGACTTCATTCATTATAATCTGTCTATACAGATTTTACTACACTTTATTTATTATGAACTGTCTGTACAGATTTCACTAGATTGCATTCATTATGAACTGTCTATACAGATTTCACCATACTTCATTTGGTATGATCTGTCTATACAGATTTCACTAGATTGCATTCATTATGATCTGTCTATACAGATTTCACCATACTTTATTTATAATAATCTGTCTATACAGATTTCACTAGATTTCATTCGGTATCATCTGTCTATACAGATTTCACCATACTTCATTTTGTATGATCTGTCTACACAGATTTCACTAGATTGCATTCATTATGAACTGTCTATACAGATTTCACCATACTTCATTCGGTATGATCTGTCTATACAGATTTCACTAGATTGCATTCATTATAAACTGTCTATACAGATTTCACTAGACTTCATTCATTATAATCTGTCTATACAGATTTCACTACACTTTATTTATTATGAACTGTCTATACAGGTTTCACTACACTTTATTTACTATGAACTGTCTATACAGATTTCACTAGATTTCATTCGGTATGATCTGTCTATACAGATTTCACCATACTTCATTTGGTATGATCTGTCTATACAGATTTCAATAGATTGCATTCATTATGAACTGTCTATACAGATTTCACTATACTTAATTCATTATAATCTGTCTATACAGATTTCACTACACTTTATTTACTATGAACTGTCTATACAGATTTCACTAGTTTTCATTCCGTATGATCTGTCTATACAGATTTCACCATACTTCATTCATTATGATCTGTCTATACAGATTTCACTACACTTTATTTATTATAATCTGTCTATACAGATTTCACTAGACTTCATTTGGTATGATCTGTCTATACAGATTTCACCATACTTCATTCGGTATGATCTGTCTATACAGATTTCACTAGATTGCATTTATTATGAACTGTCTATACAGATTTCACTAGATTTCATTCGGTATCATCTGTCTATACAGATTTCACTAGACTTCATTCATTATAATCTGACTATACAGATTTCACTACACTTTATTTATTATAATCTGTCTATACAGATTTCACTAGATTTCATTCGGTATCATCTCACCGTCTATACAGATTTCACTAGACTTCATTCTGTATGATCTGTCTATACAGATTTTACCAGATTTAATTTGTTTTGATCTGTCTATACAGATTCCACTAGACTTCATTCGGTATGATCTGGCTATACAGATTTCACTAGACTTCATTCATAATATGATCTGTCTATACAGATTTCACTAGACTTCATTCGGTATGATCTGTCTATACAGATTTCACCAGATTTAATTCATAATATGATCTGTCTATACAGATTTTACCAGATTTAATTTGTTTTGATCTGTCTATACAGATTTCACTAGACTGCATTTGGTATGATCTGTCTATACAGATTTCACCAGATTTCATTCATTATGATCTGTCTAAACAGATTTCAATCAGTATGATCTGTCTTTACAGGTTTCAGATTTCACTGGACATGATGTGTCTATACCAATTTGACTTTATTCTATCTGTATGATGTGCCTATACACATTTTGCTTGACTTTGTTTGGTATGAATCTAAAAATTTACCATTTTCATAAGTAACATTTTTTTTTGAATATTTAATTGTGTAACAAAGATATACAAGGTCATCTCCATAAAAGTACTGGTAGGAGCAAATCATGTTCATCTAAAATTCAAAACTACATTGCTAACATATTGATGGCTGAAGCAACACTGGTCTAACTTTAAAAAAAAATTCTTCAAAAATTACTTTTTTACATTTTTAGCCTAATTGCATGAAATACACAAGTAAATAAAATATTAGAAATAATCGTGAAATTTTATTGTTTTTATTTACCACTTGGAAAATATTAAATACAAAAACTAAGAATGGTAGAGGAAAGAGAAATGTAACAAATTACTGTAAATAGGAATATGGTGGAAAATATATTAAACAAGAGCTGTCTGCAGGCTTTCAAGTGGCCAATAACAAAAAAGTAGGGATAAAAGTAGGAATTTTTTTGTAAAAAAGTAGGGAAAAGTAGGGATTTTCAGAGCCTAAAAGTAGGGAAAGTAGGACTCTCTACTCACCTTTTTTCCAAAGTTGATGCAAAAACAAATACAGACCCTTATCAACTAATATCCATGGCATTTTCTTCATTTAGGAATCCAGTCACCAGTGTCTCAATAGGGATTCCACAACGGGATGAATCTGGACATCAACCTGGAATTGGTATTTTTTTATTAGATCCAATTCCAAATAATAACAGAAAATTATAAACAATGAATATGTCAGAACACAGACTTTTAGCAACATTAAACATATAGTAAGCATGTTTTTTGTACACATACTAGAAAAAGGAAATGTGTTAAAACCTTTTTTAAGATAGTATGGTTGTTACAAAATACAAACAAGAAAAATGTTATGTGCATTAACATGGTTTTAGCTAGCATAATATGTGAAACACAGGCTACAACAAGGATAGGTGTTAAAACATGATTTGCTTGACTCCATTATTTGAACATTGGACAGATTTGCAACAGAGAGAACAGTAGCCACTGTATTCAGAGTTAGAGTCATTTTTACACTAGGAATGGAGTTCATGTCCATTTTCATCTTTTTGCATTAACCATGCATTGTTAAATTTTGTGAGTCCATGTGGCATTGTGAAGTTAATTTTTATAAATTAATGAACCTGAAATAATAAATTGTTAGTAAAATGGAATTTAAAAAGAAACTTAATGGCACTTGCGAGAAATGTAAGTAAGTCTCAGATAATTCCAAGGTAGAGATGAGTATTTATGCCATATTATATTATATATATTTCAAAGATAGAGATAAGTAAACTTTGGATGCAACAACAATCTCTCACATCTTTAATGGTTATAACTAATAATTGGCACACTTAAAGCCTAAACACACAATTAATTATTCTTAAATTATCTGTTATAAGATAAAGATTCCTAATCCCTCACCATATTAAAGCTATTAAATTCTATCTAATTAAAGCATACATATTTTTCAGAAACACTCACTACATTTTTCCAGTATCTTTCATTCAATGAAAATTCAGGACAAAATGATCACAGTGAGCAACTTCAATACTTGCCAATATGCCAAACATTGTCTAAAATCTATATGTGCTCAAAGATGTTGGCAAGTATTGTCCCTCAGCATAAACATCATTGGGAAACAATTGAGAATCTATTTTATAATTTTGAAATTAAACAATTGAAAAGCTAGTCTGTGTACAAAAACATATTATAATTTTGAAATTAAACAATTGAAAAGCTAGTCTGTTTACAAAAACATATTATAATTTTGAAATGAAACAATTGAGAAGCTAGTCTGTGTACAAAAACATATTATAATTTTGAAATGAAACAATTGAGAAGCTAGTCTGTGTACAAAAACATATTATAATTTTGAAATGAAACAATTGAGAAGCTAGTCTGTGTACAAAAACATATTATAATTTTGAAATGAAACAATTGAGAAGCTAGTCTGTGTACAAAAACATATTATAATTTTGTAATGAAAAAATTGAGAAGCTAGTCTGTGTACAAAAACATATTATAATTTTGTAATGAAAAAATTGAGAAGCTAGTCTGTGTACAAAAACATATTATAATTTTGTAATGAAAAAATTGAGAAGCTAGTCTGTGTACAAAAACATATTATAATTTTGTAATGAAAAAATTGAGAAGCTAGTCTGTGTACAAAAACATATTATAATTTTGAAATGAAACAATTGAGAAGCTAGTCTGTGTACAAAAACATATTATAATTTTGTAATGAAAAAATTGAGAAGCTAGTCTGTGTACAAAAACATATTATAATTTTGTAATGAAAAAATTGAGAAGCTAGTCTGTGTACAAAAACATATTATAATTTTGTAATGAAACAATTGAGAAGCTAGTCTGTGTACAAAAACATATTATAATTTTGAAATGAAACATAAAATATAATTGAACAGTAAGTAATATTTCTATAGAAGCAAACTCACCTAAAGTCGCTGATTCTGCTATGTCAGCTAAAACCATCCTCATCATGAAACCCCTCTTGCACCACTGATGACCTACTTCCATCAACTTTTTCCTACAATTAAACTAGCATCTGATTCTTATTAAATTTGAGATAAAGATTATATCAAATCAATCTACTGCTTATACTGGATTTTTTTATCAATTATTCTCGAGCTTTTTTCTTAAAAAAGTAGGGATAGTAGGGCATTTCAAGTAAAAAGTAGGGAAAAGTAGGGGTCAAACAAAAAAAGTAGGGAAAAGTAGGAAAAGAAGGAAAAGTAGGGCCCGCTTGAAAGCCTGTGTCTGTAGGACAGCACGCTCGACTATTCTAAGTGCTTGATAGTAAAGGACCCTTGATAATGTTAAATTTTTTAAGTTCACAAAAGGGCTAATTTTTTTTTATAAATTCATGTTATAGGCCTTAGAGAGAGTCTAATTATACAGTATTGGCTTGACTATTCGGAAGGTAATGTCACAAGGGTGTTTTATTGAGTATAATAATACTAATTACCTATGAATACATAAATTTGACAGAAAAGGTACAAAGGCTTGTTATTAAGATGTTTATCAAGTAAATCACTAATTTATTATTATGAATGCATAAAAGTGTCCCAAAAAAGGCACAAACCCTTCAGTAGTTATTGAGATAACAGCTTACAAGCAAAACCCTACCATGACTTTCTAAGTTGAAAAAGGGGAGAAAAATCAGCCTAAATGCAAGATAGAATTATGGATCTTTGTCAGTGACCTACAATTATGACCCTAAATGCATATGTGAAGTTTTAAATAAATATCTTTAATAGTTATTGAGATATGTAAAACTTGCATGTAAACATTAACCAAGAGACTAAATAGAAAAGGGGATATGAATTAGCCTTAATGCAAGATAGATTTATGGAACTTGGTCAGTGACATACAATTATGACCCTCAAATTATGACCCTAAGTGCATGTGTAAAGTTTCAAGTAAATATCTTTGAAGACATTTAACTTTTAACCAAAATTTCTAAGTTTCAAAGGGGCAAATAATTCTGCAAATATTGCAGGCAGAGTTATGCAATTTTGCAAACTGATGTACATTGTTACTATAAAAAAAGTATTTTCAATTTCAATTGAATATCTCAAGCTATAATTGAGATATTTGACTTTACAAAAAAACTTTAACCAAAATTTCTAAGTTAAAAAGGGGCATAATTCTGTCAATATTGTAGGCAGAGTTATCCAACTTGTCAATCTGATGTACCTTGTTACTATAAATAAGTATTGTAAGTTTCAATTGAATATCTTAAGCAATAATTGAGATATTTGACTTTACAAGAAACTTTAACAAAATTTCTAAGTTAAAAAGGGGCATAATTCTGTCAATATTGTAGGCAGAGTTATCCAACTTGTCAATCTGATGTACCTTGTTACTATAAATAAGTATTGTAAGTTTCAATTGAATATCTCAAGCAATAATTGAGATATTTGACTTTACAAAAAACTTTAACCAACGCAGACGCCGACGCGGACGCTGACGCCGGGGCGACTACAATAGCTCTCATATTCTTCGAATAGTCGAGCTAAAAATGTCACAAAATTTGAGTACTTGCAACCTGACTTGCAATATGTTTTCAGATTATCAATTTATTGATGCTATAAACAGTAAATAAAAACGTATAATTCTATGAAAGTATTGGATTTGAATTTGCAACCAGCACAGACTGATATCAACTGACACACAACTGTGCCAGCTAGTTTATATGGGTATTGTAAACGTATGTTAGGATGGGGAAAATAAATACAATTCTTTTAAAGTTTTCTAAGTTTATAACAAGTATTTCGGCAACAACAGTGTCTAGTGAGTTAATAATACTGGATATAAATACATACCAACTTACAAGTTTGGATAACAATGTCGTTTGTAAGATGTTTACTGTATTTGAACTTTGGCGGTTTTAAAACTTTATTTGCATTACTTGGAGGTCAAGACCGAAGTGACAACATTGGTTGGATTCCGACTTTTATAAGGTTCGATGTTTGAAATCCACCAATGAAACAACAGAAATCCGGAAATCCTCCAATGGACAGACGGCCGGATTTCTGAATCTGAAATCTTGGATTTCAATGGCGGCCATATTGAAATCTCATATAAAATCTACATACGAAAATCATTAATATACAGAAACATGTAGTGAATATTTAAGGATTTCTGACCTTAATCAATCATAAACTTTACATAAATTAGGTTCTTGAATTGAATTTGACTGAAATTGATATTAACAATAAGAAATCTTCAATATAAAATATGAAGTGACAGATTTCAAAGATGTCTAGCATTCGACGTCTGCTACACAAAAATGTAAAGAGAAAATCAGTTATCTGCTATACATAAAAGGTAAGTTTAACAATTTTATCAGCTTAAATTGCAAAGTCAATAAGTGTTAATACAGTGTTCCTTCAGATCAATCAGGTAAGTGAATCTTGTTATTGTAGAAGTCAACAAATTATGGAGCTATAGGATTTCACAATGTCACTTGGATTTCATTAAAAGTTCTGTTGTAAGTACATTTCAGAATAATGCTAGAATGTCAGATCCTTACAGTATACACTCTTTGCAGCTTGGACAATAAGACCCTTCCAACCATGTTGGCAATTAAGTGTGTGGTTCGATCAACTGGCAAGGGTGCCTGCAGATCTGGTCTACACTGGTCAACATGGCCTGAAACGTTTGTTTCCAGCACTATTAGGGTTCAACCAGTATTTCATAGAGTTTGTTAAGAAAAAAGTTCAACAAGTCTACAATTAATGCTAATAGAACATTATCATATGTTTGACATCACAGGATTGTAATAAAGTCATTACAAAAAAATTATTATACACTAGTGTAATAAAGATTTGACGTCAATGTCGTTTAAAGTATTGGAAGTGTTGATTAAGTTGGCTTGTTAAAATAGTAAAAGAAAAAATAATTTTCAATGTTTTGACAGGAAAATCTAACATGTGATAAAAGAATATTACATTTGTGACTTTCCAAATTGCATTTATTAAAACTTTTAAAATGCTCGACAGAGCCTCACATTTTATTTTCTTTATTCAACTTATATGATAAATTCAATATGAAAATACAATTATGTCATATCCTCCATGTAAATGCATACTACTACTTGAATGTTACTTATGTGTCTGATAATTTTTGTGCCATGGCACGAACGACTAGATTCTCTTTATCTTAATAGGACGCTTCAGGGTAAAAATGTCACTCCATTCAATAGAACCTTTCTTGTTTGTAGTTTGGTTTTCTTTGAATCACCTGTAAAAAAATGACAAAAGTTTACTTTACTCTGCATTTAAAGCAACATTTATAACATTGTTTCTACCAAAATTGTGATCACTTAAATAAATGCACAAATTTTAAACTTAAATTCAGGCACTAAGTGTTCAATTTTGGTTAAGGCTTTCTTCCCAAGCATGTAGTGCTTTGATATTTTTAGATTTAATGATCAGTCAAACCTGTAAGTAAAGACCACTCATGGGAATGGCAAAATGTGTTATTGATTTACTTGTCAGTCTTTATCACTCAAGGACGTTTTTGGAAGTTTTCATATAGACATATAGGCAAAATTAAAACTGTTCAATAGAATTTCTTTAAACTTGGCATGTAAGATGTTGTTAGAATATGATAACAGAAACATTTTAAGTGAAAAAAAAAAAATTGGGGTCACCGTTCTTGTTTTTGAGTCATCTGCCTTTGAAATGGACTTTTTTGTTAAATTCAAGGGCAGATAATTTACAATGAAGGGAATTAATACAATTTTTTTCTTATTTTCATCAAGCTTACCTTCATTTTAGTTGATATGCAAAATTTCAAGAACAAATTTAGAGTGGGTAGTTTTTATTTCCACTTCTTTTTTTAACCTGTGCATTTTTTCTTAAAAAAAATGGCCTGTTTTTAAGGATTTAAAGTACCTTTATTTTCATTGAAAAAAAGTTAATGGAAACAACATAAGGAATTGCATATTATTATGTATTGTACTCAAAAATAAAAAGAAAAGCATAATCCAGAAGTAAAAACAAGAATTCATTTGAGTATGTATAAGTTATCTGCGCTTGAAATGACCTCAAATAAGTAGAAAAGTCTGCCAATTCCCTTGAGACGTTTTAGGAAAGCATTTTCAGGGTTCTGTTGAAATAATAAATATGTGAAATGCTATTTAGTTTGGTCTTTTAAGTTAAATATGTCTCAAAATTTATTGTCACTGAATAGGGACATCACTGAGGTGGCAGGATGACTGACTAAATTGACTACACATCTAATAATGTTTCTAAGTTCTGAGTCTTCTGACATTCTGAAGTTGGTCGGTAAGATATAATTCAACCTTTAAAATAAGTTTTCAGAAATGTGCAGGGTTTGTGCTATATGTTGTATGAAGTTAAGGAAAAATACATACTTAGTTGAATGTTACACGGCTTTGTTTTTGGATTTGTTAAGAAATTGTGTACAGTAGTCTTCAAGCCTCGCTGTAATCACTGTCTGGAAAAACTTGTAAAATTGCACATCGGAGTACCTCTGTGTTGCACTGCTCTACTACGCTTGACTGGAAGAGAAAAATATTGTTTAAACAATTTATTGTGGGTAAAGGGTTTGATGCTACTTCCAACAACAATTTAGTCATATCACAACGGCAGTAAATACTTGCCCTGCTACAAAGTTTACCAGGTATACTAGTAAATATTAACTTGCACTACAGGAGTTTGATATTGGTTAATGTCACATATAATAATGCAATACATGGCACCAAAGTAAATATTAAAGACCAGGAGGTCTTCTGCACAAAATAGCATTTAGCCATCCCAACAGTAGAGACTTGTGAATAATTCCATTGTTCAAATTGAATATTATATTAAAGTCATGAAAATGTAGACTTCTTCATGTTTCCAATGTTTTTTTTTAAAAATATTTCTGACTGTATTGTTATTGTTACTGTTTAGTTATTTATATAGTTCATTGTAATAACATAATCATGCTCTTCTCATTGTAATAAATGTCACCGCCTTGCATGTTATATATGTGGGTAAAGAACATTTAAATATGTTCATATGCTCGATAAAATATTGAAATGAATTGTTATTTAAAAACAATTATTGGAATCCTATCAAGTTATATTCACTGATAGACATGACAATATGTATAATATCAATTTAGTATCAAATCTGAAGAATCCATTTCATATATAAACATGTGTATACATGTACCTTGTTAGAACCTGAGCTCCTTAATTTCACTGAAGCATTCATACTATCCCTCTGTCCACCTGCAACACATGGGAGATAAATGCTACAATACTTTAATAGTAAGTAAATAATAAATATTTACATCAAAATAAGCAACTTCTCATTTCATATATGAATGAAACAGAGACACTGTTCCCTGAGTTTTAAATCAAGCTAAAAATGATTATGTCACTTAAAATATGGAATTTAAAATTGCATACACAACCCTAACCAAGTCTAGCACTGCTGCAAACATAGACTTGCAAAGGATAAAAGTCCTTCAGTTATTCAAATAATCTCAAGTTCGAATACATTGAATATGAATACAAACTTTTAGATTTGTCCTCAGCTGTAGAGGTGTGAGAGGTTCTAGAGGTATGACCTTGTAGACATGGTGTTGGCTTACTTGATGGGTTTGATCTACATACATCTCTCTGAAAGCAGTACAAATTTATTTACAGATAATTTAAATTTGCATTCTGTAGGCCTACATATGATTGATAAATACAATTATTCACAATAAAGTAATAAAAATATGTGTGTAATGTAATCTATTATAGCTCATATGATTTATTAACAATATTGCCTTATGTGGCATCAGAAAGTAACAATCTGTAATGTCCCATGCAAACATCTTATAATTATGGCACCAGACAGTATTGAACAAGATATAACAATGGTCGTAGGACAGGGCGGACCATGAGACAGGGCAAACCATACCAGGACGGACCATATGTTTGGAAAGGGCGGACCATATCTTGGAAAGGGCGGACCATGACCCGAGATGAGGTGGACCATAATTAATTTCAAATTTAATACTGCTATTTCATTTTTTATTTTTTTTATCTTTTGATATCAATGTTATCAAAAACAAAAAAAATGTTTAAAAAAATAAATTAATATAATTTTATACTAGTACATGTATACAATGTATATTACAGTGAATACTTAGAGTATTAACATTTACAGTACCCTTGCAATTATAAGTATAAAATAGGTAGGGTAAGATAGTGGGAATGGATTGAAAAAATCTTATAAGTAAAACATATTTTCGTTCTGCACTGAAGTTAATAAACTTGACAAAATTACTTTAATTGTAATATTTTTTTATATAATCCATTCATAACATTTCAGTTTTATAAAGGAAAAATGATTATTTATATTAGTTCATTCCTTACTAACTATAGGACAACCAAGAATAGTTTAAATACAATCGTCAATGTATATCAATTCGCTAAACAGACAGCATCTTAAAGTTCATGATGTAAACTAACTTGTCAAAGGAATCAAAATTGAAGGAAGTCAACCACGAGAAAGGAGTCAAAAAAGATAAAATATTCCATCAAGACACTTTCCACCAAAAAAAAAAAATTCTGGATAGGTGCGCAATTTTGTTTGTAATTCCAGACCGCCTAGTCTTGAGTCAGGGTCCGCCCTGTCCCAATATATGGTCCGCCCCATCCAAACATACGGTCCGCCCTGTCTCACGGTCCGCCCTGTCCGTAATTCATAACAATATAACACTATTTTTTCCCATTTTTATCTATTCTATATTTTGATATTAAATGAATAACAAGATTAAACAAATGTTTATGTCAAATCAATCATTCAATGCGACTAACACCTTTGTTTCACTCATTCGCAAAAAATCATTAGAGAGGTATTCATGTTGCCCTAATCAGCTTGATAATTGCAAAGGCCGGTGTAAACAATGTCTTTGACGTCACACCGTATACAGATCAAGATTCACATTTAAGTTTTAACTGCAAATTGCATATAAGAAACTAAGGTCGTAAGGGAAGTTAACTCATACTATCTGAACCCCATCTGCAAATTATGATGAACGATGATTGTCATGATTATGACAAGTAAGGATTCAACAATATTATTTTATCACAAAACGTCAAGAGACTGTCTATGCGCAATTGGCGCAAAGATATAAACTGATAAAGATGTTAGCTTTAATCTTGTAAAAAGAAACCTTTTAACATAACAAAATAACCATACCAAGACTTCTAAAACCCTTTGGTCACATATCCTCGATGATATCTAACACTGTATTCCCTTTCATACTCGTCTAGTTGAAAACATCGGCTGGCGGCCACTTTCCGGATGTTTTTGCTGAAAATCGTTCTGTCAGACGGTTTACGGCAGATAAATTTGTATAGACAAGGGGCATGAAATCTGTATAGACTTTCGCTTTAACGTGACAAGGAAGACGAATTTCGAAATAGTTGTAAAAAGTGCTGTATAATTCTGTTTGTCGAACTTATCTACTGGTAGGTTTAACAGAATAAAAATATTTATATAATTATCCTTCTTACTGTGCCTTTACTAACCCCTCATGATTGTCATATCACCGACTTAAAAGCGTTTAGTTTTGTGACTTTTAGCAGTTTAGTTTGTTTTAGCCAATCAACAGATCAATTACTGAATAAGTCCTAATTACGAAACTAATACCTTTACGTAACCTATTTCAATTTTCTTACTTCATTATTTTTTTTTACATTTTTCATTTTCCATGTTGAAAAAAGCCTTGATGATGCCACAATGATATGATCTAGGAGTTATTTTTGAAAAAGATCTTAAACTTAGCAAACATATTTCTACTAAGATTAGAATTAGAATTTTTAGAGGAATTATACACCTTTGTGAAATTGTATACAGCTTTGATTCGTCCTCATGTTGAATTTGCAAATGTTGTGTGGAATCCATTTGGAAAAGTCTAGAAAAACTTCAACAAAGAGCAACAAAACTAGTTTTAACATTAAAAGATCTGACATATATTGACCGTCTTAAAAAGCTTAAACTGCGAAGTCTAATACATCGCAGATTAAGAGGGGACATCGGGGTTTTACATCACTTTGATATTTTAGGGGTCCAGTGGATGCACAGACTAGAAAAGTAGGAGTCCAGACCTAAATTTTAGGGGTCCAAAATTATTTTTACTGAAAAAGACTATGAAGACCACTCAATTTTGCTCAAAAACATTTATTTATCCTGCAAGAAATTTTATATTCATTATTTATATTATTGTTTTAATACGTATACATGATTTCAATATCACTTTAAAAGTTTGTCTTATTATCCGACATGATTCAGACTTTCAAAATAGTAAAAGGCTTAGATGACTGTGTTTTTGAAAATCTTTTTAGTTATTCGGCATCAACAAGGGGACATAATTTAAAACTAGAAATGCCTCGTAGTAGAACAACTCATTGCCTACATCAGTTTTCAAGACGTGTATTAATTAAAACATGGAATAATTTGCCAAAAAATGTAGTAGACTCAAAAAGTGTTCATGAATTTAAAATAAAACTAGACCAATACTGGACCGGAGACACTCCATATAAAGTTTAAAATGTTTATTGAAAAATTATGCTGTTAAAATTATACAGCAGAGTGAACAGAAATAGATATAAGTATATATAATTAAACATAGAAGTGGTGAGAGCAATAAGAAGAAGTAGTGAAAGATTGTCAAAAGAAGAGGGGCTTAAAAAGGGCTTGGCCCTTCCATCAGAGCCCAGAATCATCCTACAGGTATCCTACAGGTATACATGAGAAACACTTTTAGAATCTGTCTGCCTCAAAATTCATGTGTTATAATTCTAACCCTAAGGCCTCTATCACATCAGCCTTATGGCAGCCGTACGAACGAATTTTGACAAAAATCACTTTGTTTCATGTGGCAGCCGCAAGACAGTGGTACAAATTCTTTAAGGTAGCAAAGTTGCCTCAACATCAGACTGATTTCTCAACATACACATTATATCTGCGATTTTTTGACAAATTTTGGACGTCTCAAGACTTTTGTAAGACAATTGTACAGCAGACTTACGATTTCTAAAGATTCTCATGTAAAAATGGTTTGCAATTGTCTTGCGAAAACGGCAGGTTTCTTGCAGTTACCGCATGCCGTATGCCAAATGATGTCAAGTAACAGATATACAGATCTGTCTAGTTAGACTAGGAAATTGCCTGCAGCCTTCCTACGGCACAGATTTCTATACAAATTGTACAAACCAAATTTCATGTGGCTGATCATCATCCGCTGATGTGATGGAGGCGTTACTGTAACCCTAAAAGTAATCTGGGTGTTGTTGAGAGAAACATAAACTGATAAATACTAAAAAAATAATTTTGTATAAAAAGTTTAAAAAAGCTGCTGAGATATAATTATGTAAGTCATACATGTTTAATAACTTTTTTTTCCACAATAAATTATTTGAACTAGCCAATTGACTACATATTTAACCCTGTTTCTAGTTCTGGCTTCCATTAGTAACACAATCGGGTTAGATCAATAGGTAGGGCATTGGAATGTTAATCAGGCTACCTGGGTTCCATTCCTGCATGGTGCAGGTCATTTTTATTGTTACTGATAATGAAATCCTTTCTACCATCATTCACACTGTGCCTCAGCTCTGGCATGTACAGAAAATACCAGTTCCTTACGAAATTGAAGGCAATTAGTACTGGTAAATTGCTTGACAGTCTGCAGGGCTCATCCTGGGGGGAAATTTTAGGGAGAAGTGACTTCCTCGCGAAAATTAGGGAGAATGGAAACAACCCAATGTGTATGCATTAACATGCATGGCTATACATCCTTTAATTATGATATAAACACAATTAACATCACATATAATATTTCTCCAGTTTATTAATTAATAGTTATAGTAGATTAATTAATAGTAGTATTAATTAATAGTAGATTAATCAATAGTAGATCTGGCAATGGCATCTAAATGTTTTTGAGCTGCAAATATGAATAAAAAAATTTATTTTTGATATCTATTGATCAGCTATTTATAAGCTTTCTCTAAATATGTGTTTATATATTTTCATGTAGATTTGTTGATGATAATGTGTAAGGAAAAGATATGATGATAAAATCAATTTTATATTCTTTACTTTCCTCACTCTTTAACAGAAGATGAGGTCACATTGGATATTTATTAATAATATCTGTTCTATTCTGTTTTGGTGACAGAAATTTCTTTCAAATTCCTGAATGTTGTAATGTCACATTTATATGCATATAATTATGCTTATAAAACAATTTTCAAACATCAAATAATATGTAAAATATGTACTGCAAACATTTGTGCACATTATATTTGATCACTAAAATTACATACATTCATTTCTTATTGAAAAATTTGACTGAGAAATTGTAGAAAATTAATTTCTAATTACCTCCCTTTATTTTCATGAAATGTTAAATTCGGTAATATCTTTATAAATAATGCTTTTTAAAATTTACAATATTGATAAATCTTAATCTGAGCATCATATTTACCGTAATTTACGACATTAAAACAAATATATATATTGAAACAAAAAGAACACTTCTTTCCTGACAAATTGTGTTGTTATATACGTTACATGATATACGACCGATATGTAGTTTAGCCGGGATGTCGTGCCCACGTGCGTAAACTGTGTCAAATTTGGCATTTCTACAAAGAGAACAACCCACTGTCTACAACATACCAATCGCAAGATTTTTGCGAATTGGCTTTCTTAAATTTTCGCGTAGGTGTAACTATCATTCAGAATCAGTAATCATAACTTTCTTAAGTTGCTCGGTTTCGGCATTAATTCGCCTTGTAGCCATGACGTGAGCGACATAACAATTTTACAGTAAAAATTGATGTTAACAGACTGAAATCATTCAAAACTATGATTAAGTTTTTAATCCTGTCGCTGATCATTAATGAAATTGATTATTTTTAATTGACTAACAGTTTTGTGATAGCCGTGAAAAATCCATTACACATCGCCCTGTACTCGGGATAAAAACCCACCATCGAAGTGCATCATGTATATCAATTAGGGAAGATTGCACGTGTTTAGATAATCGGGAAAAAACAATCTATAATTATCGCCAAATCCCGTATTAATCTCCCAAAACTATAATACCGTTTCGGGCCGATGCTCTCATTATTTACTGTTTAGAGTAGGCGGTCTATCGCTTTGGTAGTATAAAGCGACGCTCTGATTGGATAATGATAATTAGCGGTCGTCATATGGGCGGATACAATCCCTGCTCTTTACATCGCTAAGTAATTACTATTTGGGAATTAAGATTTTATCGGCGATGTTGACTTCTCTTTGATCAATCGGGAGAGCGAAATTGGAATATACACGGCGAAGTTATCGCCTGAATCGCCCTTCCGGATGAGCCCTGCAGTCTGCCTAGGAAACAATATGGTGGCTGAATCGTGATCTGGAAAATTCAATGTGGCATACTGCTGTGATTCGGAGGGTAAACTACCAACACCAACTGGCTTCCATTACTTTATATGTAGCTTTTATGATTTCTGATTAAAAATGTGCTAGAGGTATACTGTAGCAATACTGTTTTAAGCTACCCTGTTTATAATTTTATATCCTGTGATTTCCACAAAAGTTAACTGTAAAGTACTTTCCTATCATGATATTAATAATGTTATGAAATGTAAACCTGAGTAACAGCATTAAGGGGGCTCTTGCAAGTGGGCGATTTGATCAACTAAGACACCTGATGTTACTAATGCGATGTTTGAAACATCAAAGTGAAACTGAACTGGGGTTGATGAACTTTACTTTATATTTGTTTATATTGCACAGAAAATACCCCTTTAGAGCATTATGAACAAAAAAAACATCATAACCATATTCAGTACAAAGACTTTTTATTTGTAAATACTTACATTATTTATTTAAAAGGCAAACTTACAAAGAGCAACTTTTAATACTTTTCACTGAACAGCATATTTCTCATGCTCTGTATGTGATTTCCCCTCAAATAAGACAAGCTAGATTATAGATATGTTATTTCTGTCTGTAACTGATTGCTTGTCAATTCGTAATGCCCACAACAAGGGGCAGGACGTGAAGTGGTTGCACACTTGGTTCAAGCGAGCGAATTGGTTGCAAACTTGACAAAATGGCAAACACGGCGTCATTTTTTGAAACGGGTGAACGAATTTTTGCCAGGCAAGTAGGTTTCTTTGTTATTTTGAAGTTCATTAGTATGTCTATTCCATAATGCAATATATATGCCACACTCGGTTAAAGGTTTCAGCATCCTAGATTCTGTTTTGACGAAGTTATTGAAGATATAAACTGATCATGTAGATATTTTGAAATTTGACATGTGACTGTTCTGGTCGGTTTTT